GGTCCTCTTGGCCGCCGTCCTCGGCTCATAGGCTGAGAAATACTGCCCTAATGTTCACTAGGCCCTTCTCCAAGGTTCCTTCCAGCTCTGAAATGTCAGGATTACTTGATTGAGTGAAGAAGTTCAGTAAAATGATGACAAAATGGTCCTTTTATGTTGTCATCTTATTTCTAAGTGTAAATGAAAATACACAGGTTCTAATATAATAGATTTTGCCGCTCCTGGGGAGTTAGCTGCTCAGGCCACCCACAGAGGCCATGGGCACTGCAAGAACAGAGTGATTTCTGACCAAGAAGAGATCACAGTCCTGAGAAACAACTTGCCTTCCCTAACTTCAGACCTACCTTCTCCACACTGTCTTCTTAAGGAACCCAGAAACACCTTAGGTTGAAGAGATTATAAGTGAGACTTGGCTACAGACCAACAGTTATTCATGAAAATGTTTTGTGTGGTTCTCGCTTCTCTCTAAAATTCGACATCCAAGTAATTTGTGAGGTAATTTGGAACAAATAAATGGTTTGCGAGGGAAACGCACCATGTGCCAAATTTCAGCAGCAAATGCTTCCTGGACAGTTTATAAACTTTCAAAAATACTACTGGCACATGCAGTGGAAACATTATCTACTGCGCTTAACACTTCCCAAGTGAACTTTGGAATGTGAAATGTAAAATTTCCAAACTGTAAGGAAGCCTTCAGTACTAAACTTTTGTGAAGCTTAGTCAACAGATTTGGCACTTATTTGATTTTTTTTCCTGAAGCCAGCTCAGGAAAAAGCTGGATCAAAATATGTATTTCTCACACGACATATTACAAGTTTCTTCTCTCTCTTAACATTTTGCTTTCTCTCGTTGAAATTAGTTGAAACAGATTCTATTTAGGGATCAAGGAAATGGTGTTGGAAATAATCATTTCTCTTCAACTGTCCTAAGCGCCCAAGACAATGTTGTTATGTCATTTTCTAGAAGGCTCTGCATGTGCCACAGCCCTCCTTTGGGTGAGATGAAGAGATTCGAGAGTGTCCGAGCCTCCCTGATATACACACTATTGTGAGGCCTGGGTGGAAGTAGGGGTCAGCAGACCTGAATTCAAGCTTAACTCCACAATGTGCCAGCTGTGTGATATTGCGCAGCCTCCTTAACCACTCTGTATCTCAGTGTTGTCAAAAGTACAACAGGAATGACAACTATAGTACCAGGTTCATATGGGTTTTATGGGGAGTAATGAGATAAGGCATTAGCCTGGCATGTAGATACCTGATTTCTCTTAGTGCCTCTGGTTTAACATCAGTGTCAGTATTTCCAAACCCTGAGGATATGGCAGGCTGAGTCTCTTCCCCAACTCCCTCACTCCTCTTCTCTCTACCTGCTCATCCCTTTGCCTCTATGATTTCAATTTATTGCCTTTTAAATCTGCTTGGTTCTTTGGCTTAATGGACAGCCTTATATACAGAGAAGGGGAAATGTGCATAAAGTGAACAATTGAAAGGTTGACCTGAAGAATATCTATCCCACTGGTCTATTAAAGTGCAGGGTATGAGTCACTGTCTCTCTCTGAAACATCTAAAAGTACGCATTCATTAACCAAGTTCCATGGAGGGACAGGACTCTGTCAATACCATGGCACGGTTAGCAGCAGAAGAGAGCATTGCAATCAAGGGAAGGTTCACTCAGTATTGGGGGCAAGGCAGGGGTCTAGACTCAGGGAATTGGATACATCCTAACACCAGCAGCACGGCCACTCAACTCACTGAGTCTCATTTACCCCTTCTCTTACAAGAGGAACATGATAGCTGTCTTCTCTGCCACATGGGGGTCTTGAGAGGATCAAATGAAATGATGTTTATGACAAAATCTGAAAACCACAACAAAACACGAAGAGCAGCGAGGAGGCTGAGGATGCCTGAGGGGACACGGATCACCAGGAGATGAGGCGGAGAGGGCGAGCCCTTCTGAGCCTGGGAAGGGGCCCTGAGCGGTGCACGGGGCTGGGGTAGAAAGCAAGCATAGGGAAGAGGAGAAAGAGGCACAAATGAGCATCAGAAGGCAGCTCAGGGATTAGAGATGAACTCTGCCAGCTGACAGTTTTACTCAGGGTCAGCTGCCCACCTGTGCTGTATTCTTCCCGAGATGTATTGCAGAATACGTGGAGATAAAACTCTACCATATTAATTGAAGAAATAAAAATCCAAGCTACATAAGCCGCAGGATGCCCTCCCTGGACTCCACTGCACCCACGCCTTGGCCTTAGCAGGCGGGGTTTAAGAAGGACTTCATTTCTTCCAAATACAGGAGGCATGACATTCATGGAACAGAAACTGTATCAAAGTTAGTCCCATCTCCTCACCTCCGGGACAATGAGGAAGCAGAGTAGGTGGAAATCCCAAAGCCAGGGAAGCTGAGTGAGAACTCTGGCCGAGGATTCAGGAGCATTCAGGAACTCTTCAGTTCTAGACCCAGTGCTACCACTGGTCACTGACCTCTTGGCACCTCAGTTTCCCCGTTTGTAAAGTACACATTCGGGCACCAGATGACCCCTTCCCATGCTAACATTCTCTGGTTGTAAGGCGCTCTCCATTGGGAAGATGGTTAAAGGGTTGGAACAGGGGAACAAAGCCCTGGAATGGAAAGAGAGATCCTAACAGTGATGCCAAGAGGAAAGACGTACTGGTAAGGAGGTGAGAGCTTGTCTGTGCCTTAGCGAGAACAGAAGCTGATCCTGGCCAGGTCACTTTCTAAGTGGCCTTCTTGCTCCAGGGAGAAATCCTAGGAGGCAACTGGGCTGGCCAGGAAGAGGACTCCCCTTCATGCCAAGCTCCTTGAGGGCTGTATTAATTCACCTTTATTTCCTAGTATATCTAACACAAGATGAATAAATGAATGGAAATTGCACAGGGAGTAGAAATATTATGCTTCAATAAAAAGTCACCAAAACTGCACAGGGATAAACAACAAAACCCTTTGTGGTTCAGTGGTACTGAAGTATGTGCCGAGTGATCAGGGTAAAGCACAAACAAACCAAGGCCCTTGTCTACCAATGAGGGTACAGCTCGCCCCCACCTATCACCTTAAAGATGGAGAATCTGAGGCCCAGACTGGTAAATGAGATGTCAAAGCCCCGTAACAGCAAGAATGTGATTAGGATATAGGTCTTACTGCCTCCCAGAGAAGAACAAGTAAATAATCAAAGATTTAGAAAACAAGACATTTTAAAAATATTTTTCCCTTTGTACTGTACTCTTTTCTTGGGGTTTTTTTTTTTTTGCGGCTGGTCGGTAGAGGGATCTCAACCCTTGACCTTGGTGTTACCAACACCACGCTTTAACTGGGCTAACCAGCCAGCCCATCGTCTACCTTAATGACAGGAAGGGTGATAACAGGTGCAAATAAGACAGAGAAGCTGAATAGGTAACAGATGCAGCTCAAATGCCCTTCATGTCCTCGAAGTAAAAGAAAATGGGCTTGTTTAAAGAACAAAAGACTGGTCAGAAAAAGGCAGAAATGACTGGGTGTCAGAGAGCAAACCACTTTTCTAAAAAGAAGTCATTACTTAATTGTGACCTTTCCCAACTGTAATTCTCTTGAATATTTTGTTATCAGGATTCACAAAGGCCTACCACAGGAATCTTTATATTAATAAATGCCACAATGGAATTTTCTAATGCCTCAATTCTTTGTTTAAACAGCCAGATTTCTTCCTCAGGGACAGCAGAAATTTATGCTGCTAATTATTTCCAAAATAATGTCACTTGTGCTAAATAAACAGATCCTTTTTTTTT